CTACTGAGCACAAAAACTTATTAATTAATAACCTTTAAAATCAGAACTAGACTAAGATGTCATATTAATGGAAAAATATTTTATTTATATAATAAATTATTCATTGTCGCTTCTCTTTCTAATAAAATGGCTTATGGTGTTGATCTTAAAAATTTTCCCATGAACAAACAGTTAAAAAATGTGTTATGTCAGCTAAACCACTTTGCTTTTGTAGTTTGGGAACACTGTATTTTGGTTGTAGATATCTATATAAAATTGGTTTTTTACTACAAATTAACATTAATAACATTTTTAAGTTGGAAATGAAAGTTTTTGTTGAAAAATTACTTGGCATTTTAATAATTTTAAATATCTGTCAAAACATCTTAACAGAATTATTGAAATCAATATTTTAAAATTGCAGAAAAATTTCCCTTCATTTGCACTAATCACTTTACTCACAGACAACAATGACAAGTCAACTGGTCAATACCATGAAAAAGAGCTGAGAAAACAAAATACAGCACACATTTGTTAGGCAATTTTAGGTGAATAAACAGTGGATCTTTCAGCTCTAGAACCTGCCATTGCTTATTTTTTATGGAACTCACTTCATTCATATAAAACATTTACTTTTTTTTTTTTTTTTTTTTTTTTTACAAACACATTTAATCTGAAATATGACTCAGCTGAATTTAACCAATCTAGGAAATGCTGTTGCCTTTGATCAGCAATTCCTCCATAGCCATGGCAAGCAGCTTGCAGAACAAGGTAATTCCATTTCAGTGTATTTAGATAATTTGAAAAATCTTTTTTATTTTCTTTTTTCTGTTTCAGAACATAAAAACTATCAACAAAACCCCCACCAAAACCAAAGCTTTAAAATGGCACTGTTGGTAGGGCTTACAAGTGAAGACGACTCCAGTTTCATTAACCTCTGCTTTAAATACATCTCCTGGACTTAGAGGGAAGAACCAGATAAGATTATAGATCAGATGCTAGTACTATATGCAATTTTTAGTCTCTACAAAATAATCTCAGGTGTATGCTTCATAAACTGTGTTGTGCTAAAATGGTAAGTATAAACTTGGCCTCCTGTCTGCTACACTGATTTTGCGTAAACTTGGTCTGTTAAAGAGTATTCCTCATTTTTAATGTGACAGCTATAAACCTCAGCAAAGGATCAGCCTTATTATGCCAGAAACAGCCAAATATAGTCTACAAATGATGCTATGAAGGAGTGTAATTTGACAAGGAAATACAGGGCATAAAGAAATAAATAGGAAAAAGGTCACAGACAGGCTGACTAATATGAATGTTTGTTAAAATGAGAAGCCTCTCTGCATCTTTCTCCTTTTATTTACTTGGTCTTTGATAGTCAATGAAATGCAATGAAAGTGTAAGGCCTAGCTTACATAAAAATGTAAAAATGCTTGTAAAAATACACAGCAGCTGCTCAGGACTCATAAGAGCTGAGGCCAGTTAGCAGCCTTCTCCTTCAAAGAGTGATGTATTGTCAAAACCATTAAAATTAGTTGTTAAACCAATGGGTGGACAACATCAAATAACCTTTTAAGCTTGCTATCATTATATAATAATGTACTTCAGGCTCAATTCTAACTTATTTTTATGCCTAGCAAAATCTAGTATCTACAGAATTCAAAACTGATCTGTACTTCTGCACTGTGTTTGTATGTGAAAGAAGCAGTAGTCAACTAGCAGTCATTGTGCTGAATTTCCAGATGAGAAATGTTCTTTTTCTTCTTATTTGAACCAATAGATTCAGCTAAAGCCTAGAGCTTCACATTTCATTTTCCTTGTAAATGATTGCTGCTTTAAACCATTTGCTATGGTTTATTTATAGAATAATACATAGTTCAAACTAAATGCCAAGCTATAATTGAATCAAAGGATTCTGCTGATGCCTCGGCTCACAAGGGTGCAGCTCAAGAGCTTTATAAAGGGCAGCAGAATCTGAGTCTAAATTACACCCCCCAGTATTCGGTCTGGGATCATGCATTTATAATGCTTAATAGGACTAAAAGCATTATTATAATACTTCAGTAAATAAAAAGAAAATGTATCAAACAGCAGAATTCAGAATGCTTGCAGAGGCTTTGAGTTTATGATGTGGGAGGGCACAGATTATGTTGCATGAAATAAGGCTAGAGGAAAAGTAGTTCATAAACATATTTATGTTCTTAAAAGTGTTCTGAAGTTATTCTTAAATAAAAGGAAAATATATGTTTCATATATTAAACCACAGAAAATTCACAATGTTCTACTATACAGAATGTTATAACTAGTTGATTCCAGATTCCACATAGCTATTTTCTGGCATAATAAGGCAATAATTATGCTATAGAAAGAAAATATCAATTCACACATCTTTGATGATTTTTTGAATAATATTACAAACAGTAAAATTTAAATTTTTTAACCAGTTGTATTTTTTCTAGTACAAAAAATGTCTTACCAAAAAGGTTTATAGATCCAATTCACAAAGACAACATTCCTTTATTGGTTAAAGGAATCTGAGTGATAAAGCATACATTTTTAGGCTAAAATGAATATAATTTTTTACATAGATACTTTGTTGTGTTTTAGAATGTGTTCTCTTAAAAGCAAGTAATGATAAACACTTTACACTTTTTTCCATGTTATCTGGTAATCTGTGGTGTATCTGTTGGGCTGTAAGCAAGGACACCAATCAATATTTTGTTATATAGACATTTTATCCATCAGATGTTTACCCTAGTTCCTCTCACTAGGCTGCAATTAGTCCAGCAATTCCCTAATGTGGCCACAGTAATTTTGCACAACTAGTGATGCTGTGGAAGCTCATCATATGCCTTCCAAAGTGTTTCTGCATTTTCCTCTGACCCTCTCCAGTGTAAGAGATAAAATAGCAGACTATAAAGGCATTGGTCAGACCTCAGGATGGAATTTTTCTGTGGATTTAGGGTACAGTTCTTTACACCTCTAACTGGAATTGCAAGTATTTGAGAGATAATTAGACACTTTGAACTTTGTTG